CATTGGCGCGCACCCGTCATTCTCCATACTTAAGCTAAAGTTCACCCTTAAATTTGTATCAACCCTTTCTCGTAGGCTACTAAGGCAATTCAGCATGTCACGGGTTTCACAGGTAGGAAATTCCTCTCCAGTAATTGTATTTGGACCCTCCCTTGGTGATAAATCCTACAATGGCGCAACGCTGGTTAGCTCTCTGCACGATGTGGTCCGGCTGTATGGTACGAGAACATGGCTCGTGGTTACTCTATTCGACAGCGAGAATGATATGTTATGGTGCCCTAGAACAAACGATCTTGTCCGGCTTCCAAAAGAGCAGGATCTCTTTTATCTGGGCAAAGAATATAACAGCTACGCTCATACCTCTCGAGCTGGGTATGGCTTCGTCTCCTATGATTCCTGCATCAAAGTCAAGAACCCGCTGACTGGCCGCCTTGTTACGCTTGACGAGCCTGATGTCAAGCCTGATGGGGTTGACATGGACTACGCGGTTGACCGTGACGGTGAATTCTACGTCATGGCTGGGTTTCGGGATCGTCTACCGTTTTTTCTTTATTCGTCCAGGACAAAGAGGTGGGAGAGTAGGGAGTTGCCAATCAAGGACAAAGGTTCTTTTAACGAGGGCGAGGGTATGGATGGGTGCTCGTGGATATCGAAGAACTACCTTGGAAGGGTTGCAATGTATAATCCAGTCCTTGATTGCACGCGATTCGTTGAGCTTTTTGAGCCTCCTCCGAAACGTACATCCGTAGAGGCTAAATACAAATTCTACAAGGGTTGTCTCTACCTCTTTTATGTTCGTTGGGATACTCGTCTGGTGGTAGTGGCTGTTTACAACGAACTCAAGTTATGGCAGAAGTAAGAATATTTAAAGATCTTCCTATATCGATATCTCACCCTTTGAGAATTCTAACAGGTTGAGCCAAGTTACATGTCCCCGCTTCAACGAAAAGATTGTGCTTGCCGAAGGTGGGCCGTATATGTTCATGTACACCTTCAGCTTCTGTGGTCCTGGTAGTAGCGTCGTGATGGTGTATGACATCGACAAATGCTGCTGGTTCAGCCGGCAACTCTGTGACGTTATGGGGATACATGCCTACATTCCAAGCTATCTCAACTGGACCAACTAAGGGATAAGTAGAAATCGATTGACTAGTTTGGAATGTTCTGCCACTGGAAAAGATAGCACACAAATAAAGTTATCGAATTATGAAGAACACATGTTGTGCTTGTACGGGTCCACAACTTGGTGTGTACAGAAGCACACCTTATCATCGAATGCTCTTACAACACGGTTAGAGATCTTACAGTCTCCGTTGCGCCACCGGCTCTTGTTCCTCCCTGCCCTGCCCGGCCCTCAAGCCGTGCCCAATCCAGTGGGAGACACTCTTGTGCCTCATTTCCAAGTCGGCGCTATTCCCGTTCCAATTTCCCGTGCCCTAATTCCCGCTCCTCTTCCCGCCAGAACAACGGCAAGCCAACCGCCACGGCTGATTCAGACCATGCTCGCAGCTGTACAAGACCTGAAAGTCTTGTGGAGACTTTACTCGCTGGAGTGAGGAATATCACCGCAATTCCAAGCATCAAGCTTAACTTAAGCCAGACCACACTCTCTGGCGCTACAAAGGCTACTCTGGCTGGCCTTGACTACACCTTTGCTCCTGTTGTCAAGCTGACAATAATTCAAACATTGCTTGCGCTTGCCGCAGCAGAGAATTGGCACGTTCGCCAGATGGATGTAAAAATAGCTCCCTGTTTCTCAGGACATCTTGCAAAGGTTCTCCATGGATAAATCCTCTCCTGCTGTGATGCCTATGGTAGCAGGTCTGAAACTCTCAAAAGATCAGTTTCTTTCTACAGATAAAGAGCGGAGTGAGATGGCCCGAGTCCCTTAACGCAGCGCCGTTGGATACCTGGTTGTGTGTACACGCCCAGACTTTGCTTTCTCTGTAAGCTTGGTGAGCAGGTTCTACCTTGGCAAACATTTAAACGTAGTTTTTGGTACGTACGACATACATTTTCTTATCTCTATACAAGCTTGCAAGCATTTAGTTAGTGACTCTAACTGGGCTGGCTGCCTGCCGAGATTCTCGACGGTCCTTTTTTCTAGCCTTCACAATGCAGCTCTTTCCTGGAGCAGCAAGACGAGCCGAGGCGGAGTACATTGCGGCTAGTTCCCTATGCAAAGAGGCCACCTGGCTTCGCCGCGGCTATTCCTTTTCCAGCCCAACACCAATCTACTGCAGCATCGCCTTCATCGCAAGTAAAACATTTTAATGTTAAACACAGATGAATCCTATAAAGTCACATGTATATGGTATGAAACATGCTCGTGGTTTCTCTATTCGAAAGCTGGAATGAGATGCTCCTAGGACAGACAATCTTGTCCGGCTTCCAGAACACTCGCGAAAGCTGTTGACAAGGCCTATGCGGTTGACTGCCTTGGTGAATTCTACGTCATGGCTCCTATACCCGGATCCTTTTTCTTTACTCGTCCAGAGCAAAGAATCGAGGACAAAGGGCATTCATTTAGGTTTGCTCGTTACCTTGGAAGGCTTGCAATGTATAATCCAGTCCTTGTGTATGCGATTCTTCAAGCCTTTCAAGCCCAATGTAAACGCTTCATACCAATTATACAAGTGTCAACTCTATGTCAAGGTACAACGAGGAGCTTAAGTCATGGCAGAAGTAAGAATAAGCACACTTTGTGAATTCATATTGAACCAGATTATAAGTCCCAGCTAGGTGGGCCGTATGCTCATTGTTCATCGATCACAAAAACTACGGTCATCTGCTCTAAGGGATCAGGCTATGTTAATTGGTTTTAACCGACAAAAAGGCAAAAGCAAACTCAGAAACATGTCATTTTCACGCAAGAAACTTCAGCTGAGGTTCCATTGTGTCCCCCTCTGATTCACCACTCCACTTCAGAAATTTTTCAGTATTTCCATACTCTTGCGCTGCCTCGTCGTTTCCTCCAGCTTCACCCACCCTAAGCCAATATGCCAGTTTGTGCTTTGTCTCGTACCATAGCGTAGAGCTAAAACAGGTACCTAGCGCGTGAGGGCTAGTATGATACTCATCCATCTCATCAATCTTCTTTATGAAAAGAGGTACCTGTGTGCCAGTAGTCAAAATAAATCGAACACAAAACAGAAAGTCACGCAACCCACCTTCAAACGTGAGCATATCGGATTACTAACAGGATAGACGCAGCCTTTTTCTGGAAGTCGCATACTGAAAATAGGAGGGGAGACATGAGTAAGTCCACTAAGTGTTTAAAAACCATAAAGGTGATACTTACTACTCTGCAGTTTCCAATACCCCCTCTCTTTTCAGTAGCCTCTCAACATAAGAAGGAACTCGCTCCTGAAAACCAACTTCTGACTTGAGTGCCTGAATGGAAATAAAAATGAATGGTTAAGTAAATAATAAGTTTGAAGTAGAAAAAACACCACAAACCTCTGTTTCTATCAGTTCCATGTGGCCAAGATCACGGTCTGCAGAAAAAAACACCTCAAAGCGATCATGCACGAATCAAACATAAAAGACTTACAATGTAAAAACTCGAAATTGACATAAACTGGGAGTTGCACCTTGAGAAGCCAGAGTCTCGCATGGACTGTAGAGTCGTATAAAGCCAGTAAATGAGAGAGAAATACTGACTTTGGTGGTTTCCGTGTGAAGAGTGAAGCTGCCAAACTTCCCTCGTTGCTGGATGCTGAAAGCAGTAGCTTCACTTGGCCTACCGTGAGGGGTCCCCAGGCAAGAGGGGGAGGATACTCTGCCGGATCGCAGCCATATATGCTCAAGCTTTGCTCAAAGTATCGGTCCCAGTCCTCCTTCGACAAGTCTACAGCCTCCATCCTGTAACACTCGACAACTCCGCGTTCAATCTCTCTCAGCTCCTCCAGTTCGCTGCTAGGCTGCGATTCGACTTGAGATATGCGGTTTCTGATGAAGGCCAGCGCAGTCGCACAGGCAGGCCCCTGAAGATACATATAACGTAAGAACGAAACAAGGCAAGCACATAAAAATACCTCGTCCCGCCCGGGTAGCGTCACAAAATATAATGAGCGGACAAGTTGTTTGACGATGTCAAGCAACGGGCTCGAGCTCTCACTGATCACCAAAAAGTTAGAAAGTTAGAAAGAAAACTTGAAGGCCGCAATCATGCTTACAGCTGCTCGACGAGTGAAGAAGGTACGCTTCGCCAGCCGAGCTCGAGAGCAGCTCTGGCGCTATCTTTGTCCTCGAAGTCAAGAAAAGCGTCCCATGATGAAGCCATCTCTGGTGGTTCATTTTCCCATTTTGCACCAGTTAGAGGTGTGGCTCGAGGGACTGTGATCACACTTCGTAGAATGACCCGAGCGAAGCATACAAGTCGACGGATCTCAGCAATCGAAACCGACGCGCTAGCACTCAGAGCTTCAATGTCATGGAGGTTGTCGCAGTGGGAGACGTAAAGAATGGCCAGGAAGTAGAAGAGGTCGGCATCGTAAGCCTCCGGGCGCCAGTAATCGGTACCCCAAATAGAAGTAGCAGCGTGAAAACACTCGGCTTCACGGAGATCGTCCTCAGCTAACTTGACTAACTCATCCTCCACCTGTTTAGCTTTCAAGTAGCGCAGCGCCTGCCATTCCCCTGCCGATCTCCTATACAAACCTGACCTCGGGTCCAAGCATTCTGCCTCTAGAAGCCGATCTATCGCCATAGGTTAGGGCTCTTCACCAAAGCCGAAATTGCCTCTTGCTTTATATAGTAGCTTCCCTTTCATGTGTAAGCCCTACATTCCAAGTTATTAGTTTGGAATATACTTCTGTTCTGTCAACTTTATGAAGATCGTACTATATCTAAAGTTATCAGAGTTCTAGATGAATTCTATGACGTGATAGAGGGGTCCAGTACCCTACGCACACCAGGTTTCTGTTACAAGTGGTCTCCAGATAAACACTTACATAAACTTAGAAATCACTATTCTCCTGTTATGGGGTCCACAACTTAGTGTGTACATAAGCACATCTTATCATCGAATGCTCACAGCACCATGTTTCGTGTAGGGTTGCAAGTGGCCTCCAGATCTTTCTCGTCCGCGGCACCTGCTAAGGTAAGCTAGAAAAGATTTAAAAGTTTCTCACGGGCTCTATGATCAAACCCAGAAGCTCAAGGTTGTAGGAGTTTTCTACAAAGGAGGAGAGCATGCTGCCAAAAACCCCAAATTTATTGGGAATGTTGAGAATTGCCTGGGAATTCGGCAGTGGCTCGAGGATCAGGGCCATGACTACATTGTGACTGATGACAAAGAGGGCCCAACTTGTGGTAATTTCTTGTTATAACATTTATTGGAGCACATAGCGACATTTTGATTCTGGTTTTGGTTTTGGCTAGAGCTGGAGAAACACATCCCAGACATGGATGTGCTAATCACCACACCATTCCATCCCGGCTACATGACTGCCGAGCGGATCCAAAAGGCCAAAAACCTCAAGCTAGCACTCACTGCAGGGATTGGCTCTGACCACATTGACTTGACGGCTGCCTCCAAGGCTGGCATCACAGTCGCAGAAGTCACAGGTAGCTGACTGGGCTTTTCGACTCTGACCCGACCATCAAACACGGTCTTTGCATTGACGATCTCCCAGGGTCAAATGTGGTCTCGGTTGCGGAGGACCAGCTCATGCGTGTCTTGATCCTTCTGCGCAACTATCAGAATGGGTGGACCCAAGTCAACGCTGGCGGCTGGGACGTTGCAGAGATCGTTTCAAAGGCCTACGATGTGCAAGGCAAAACCATTGGCAGTGTGGGAGCTGGAAGAATTGGGTACCATTTGCTCAAGCGTCTCAAGGTATTAGTTTTAACGAAGTCTTAAAGCTCGCCACCTTTGTTACATCCATGCAGGCGTTCGATTGCAACCTTTTGTATTACGATCGGGTGGCCATGCCCAGTGACAAGGAGAAAGAGACTGGGGCGACGCGCGAGGCCGACTTGGACACAATGCTGGCCAAGTGTGACGCGGTGGTGATGAATGTGCCGCTGACTGAGAAAACCAGGTAATGATATATGCTGAAAGAAACGATCATACGTTAGTTTTCTTTGTGACATTTGTGACAGGGGATTCTTCAACAAGGACCGCATAAGCAAAATGAAGAGAGGTGCGGTTTTAGTGAACAATGCGAGAGGAGCCCTCATGGATGCCAATGCGGTGGCGGAAGCGTGTAAATCTGGACACCTTGGAGGTCTCTCTTTTCTTCTATTTTTCTGCTGTGATTTTGTTTGATCTTGGGAACTTGATCTAGGCTACGGTGGCGATGTTTGGTACCCGCAGCCTCCTCCGAAAGATCACCCATGGCGATCCATGCCAAACAACGCAATGACTCCTCACGTCTCTGGATCGACGCTCGACGCCCAGGCTCGCTACTCGGCCGGCGTCAAGGAGATGCTCCGCCGCTACTTTGTTAACGAGGAATTCCCTGCGGATTATTACATTGTCAAAGACGGCAAGATCGCACCCCAGTACTTATAAATTCTCAAGTGATGCAAAAACAAATAATAATAATAATAATAATAATAAGAAGAAGAAGAAGAAGAAGAAGAATAAGAAGAATAATAAGAATAAGATATTATTATTATGAATTCTCATATTTAAATTTAAATTAGTGTAAATAAACAGCCTTATCATACTTAAACCTCGGAATATCTGTTCAACAGAAAATGTGTCCTAGAATATGCTCGTGGTGTTTTAGACTGGCCATTCTTTCCCGGGCAACCGCTGGAAAGAGGGCGAGGGTGAGGGTGCCCCGCGGCTATGGAGGATGACGAAGAGCGCGGCGGCCAGGCTCGGATTCTCCACGGCGATGTCAAGACCGCCTCGTTCCCGGTGCGCGCCAATGCGCTCATGGCGAAGAATCTCGTGTTCCAGGTAAATCTCCCAGCTGCATTCCAGGGTTTGGATTCTCAGATCTTCCGCAGCGGCGAAGCTGGAAGACGAATGCTTGCCTGGTCATGTTTCCGGCATTGCTGTGCTTGCTGCTGTTTGGGATCCAGAAGATCGTCGATACGCTGATGAGAGAGCCGGCATTTACCTGTGGGTGTATGTGTGTTCCAGTGTCATCGGGCGACTGTGAGACACGGTGTGGCGTGGAGTACTCGGACAATGTCCAAGCCGTGACTTGCCCAGTTCCATCGCCTTACAAGATCCCCGCGATGATGCAAATATCGAGGAGACCCTTTCAGGCTGTTAACTTTGGAGGGGAGTTCCCAGGTTTTCCTGATCCATCGTGCCGGACGTTCTGGAGCTGTCCATACGTGTTTGTCTACACTGGGCAGAATCGATCCATCGCAGACCGTAAGTAGAGTTTTCTTTTTCTTGTTTTGGTCATGTAACTTCTATTGTTTCTTTTCCTTGCAGAAATCACGAACCAAATGCTGAATGACGAACTGGATCTCGGAAATCCGCTTTCTTCTCTTGTTCCAGTAAGTCTTTTTTTCTTGGAACTTTAGATTTCTTATGCTGATGAGGACGTGTGCTTAGCGGTTTGATACGTCCAGGCTAGTTTCAGAAGGCCGCCGCTTGCTTATTTCATGGAGCCAGGATTGCCCAACCATTTCTATGTGTTGCGTCGAGACTGCTCGAACTACAACGGCCAATGGATAGCTCCGTGTACGCAAGAACATACTTTACATTTCTCAGGTTGCATAAGAATTGTTTATTTCTGTAGGCATTCCCACGCTTTTGCTGTGGCGGGAAGATAGACGGATCATAGACAAGGAAATTTACAGAGGCTACATGAAAGGAAACGAACACAGATGGATCAATGAGATTCCTGCAGGTAAGATTTATAGTTTTCATGTGATGCCTCTAGAGCTACCTTGCTAAAACTTGCAGCGTATGACCTTCAAAGCACGAGCTTGCAGAAGCTCGATGTAAATATCTTCTATAACGCAACATATGCTGGTGACATTCGAATGGAATTCCCAGGAATACTTCGAGTTGCTCGTAGCCTGAATCTGGTATGTTCCTTTCCCGGTTGTAATTGTCCTTCATTCACGAGTTTTGAGTTTTGCAGGTCACAGAGGCCTTTCTAAAAACTATCCTGGGTTCAGTTGCTCGGTTGCCACTGCTGTTTATAAAGGAGATGCCAAAGCCAGAGACGAGATATGTTTTAGATTTTTCTTCGTTGCTTGGTCCCCTTTTTTACATGTGGGTTGTCCAGCTTCTACTTCCAGTAAGTACGCTCGGTTAATATTCTTTTGAACTCTTTGACGATAAGAGACGAAGGCTCATTTTGCAGGTGATGCTGACTTACCTGGTTTATGAGAAAGAACGAAACCTTCGTATGATGATGAAGATGCATGGTCTGGGAGATGGTCCATACTGGCTCATTACATACGCTTATTTCCTTGCGCTTTCAACCTTGTATATTATTTGCTTCATTTTGTTTGGCTCACTTGTCGGTATGGTTTTCCTGATTTCATTCACTGGAACGTGAATCACTGTGGCAGGCTTGCAGTTTTTTCGGCTCAACGACTACTCTCTTCAGTTTACTTTTTACATGGTGTATATGAACTTGCAAATAGCTTTATCCTTCTTTGGCGCCACACTGTTCTCTCGAGTCAGCACAGCCACAGGTATGTCGGTGCAAACATTTGTTACTCTGCTATTTACCTTCGGATGCGCAATGCAGTTTGCGGGTACCTGTATGTTTTTGCCTTCGGGTTGCTAGGAGCTTTTCTCTTCCAAAATTATGTCGAGGACGTGCATACTAGCAGTACGCGTTTGCCATTGTGCTTTCTGGTGTATTTTCTTATTGTTACTTGGTTTTAGGAGTGTTTATATTCTTGTTGGAACTATTACCTGGTTTTTCTCTTTATCGCGGCCTCTATGAATTTGCACAGTATGCATTGGTCGGTGGGAAACAAGGAACTCATGGCATGCGCTGGAAAAATATCCACGATCGCGAGAATGCCTTCAAGCAGGTTGTTACAATAATGGCAGTCGAGTTACCGATCTTTACGATTTTAGCATTATATCTAGATCAAGTAGTTTCATCTGGAAGCGGGTTGAAGAGGCACCCTTTGTTTTTCGTGAAGCGATATTTTCCCAGGCCTCAAGAAAATATTATTTCTCGAGTGTCTGAAGAAGGCGAACAAAAGCCAGATATTGCGAGAGAGGTATCTGCTTACAAAGTTGTGAGAGTACTTGCTTAATGCTTTTCTTGATAGGTACAAACTGTGCAAAGCTTAAGGGATGGGAATACGTCACTCTATTCGGTAGTTTGTGATGATCTGAAGAAAGTTTATATCGGGAAGGATGGCGGTCTTAGTAAATATGCTGTGCGCGGTTTATCATTGGCTATAGAGCGCGGAGAGTGTTTTGGGATGCTGGGACCAAATGGTGCAGGGAAGACGTCGAGTATCAACATGGTGACCTTTCTTTTCTTTTCACTCGATGTGAAGCTGTATATAACGTTCCTGCAGATGATTGGATTCCTTACACCTTCGTCTGGAAAAGTATATATCGATGGCGGGGACATTTCCAAAGACATGGATAAGCTGTACGCGGTCATGGGAGTTTGTCCTCAGCACGAGTAAGGTGTTCAGTAACTAGTGCTCTCTAACATTTCCTCGTTACTTTGGCAGTCTGATATGGGAACTATTGACTGGACGAGAGCATCTCCTCTTTTATGGCAGGCTAAAGAGCTTGAAAGGGTCTGCGCTTGAAAATGTGCGTATGTAACTGCTTAGTTCTATGCTTAATAACTCGTTGTTCTCTGCAGGCTGTGCAAGCGTCGTTGAAGAGCGTGGGCCTTTTTAATGGAGGTGTTGGCGACAAGAAAGCTGGGACATACAGTGGTGGGATGAAACGCCGGTTGAGTGTAGCTATATCCTTGATAGGAAATCCAAAGGTGAATGCCATCTCAGCACGATCACTAAACTTTCCTTGTTTCTGTGAAGGTTGTTTACATGGACGAGCCTAGTACAGGATTGGATCCAGCCTCGAGGAGGACACTCTGGAACGTGATAAGACAGGCCAAAGAAGACAGGGCCATCGTACTTACAAGTAATCTCTTTTGTTAACATGTATATTGTGCCTTAACTCTCCAGTACTCTCATTGCAGCGCATTCTATGGAGGAGGCAGAAGCACTATGCGACCGGATCGGAATTTTTGTCGAAGGAAAACTACAGTGCATCGGCAGCTCCAACGATGTAAGCGGTGCACGAATTTGTTTTTCCTCTTTTCAACGCCACGAGTGTGACTTCCAGCTCAAATCGAGATACGGTGGCTCATACACTTTTACAGTCACGACGAGCCCGTCCAAGGAGCTGGAGGTGGTGGGGCTGGTTCACACTTGGTCACCTCGAGGAAAGAGAACATACAACCTTTCCGGCACGCAGAAATTTCAGCTACCGAAGGAAGGCGTGGAGCTGTCACGGGTGTTTAGAGACACAGAGAACGCGAAAGAGACGCTCGAGCTACAAGCGTGGGGCCTGGCGGACACAACCCTGGAGGACGTGTTCATCAAAGTGATGAAGGAGCTCAAGCAGATGTGATGGAGAAGAAGGTCGTGGGGGTGTTTGAATACGAATATCCGCTTGTACATGGCGGTTCACGATTGCGGGAACCTCAACGGTGGATCTTCATTTTTTCCTGGGTGCATGACCAATGAGGCTTAGTGCTTCTCTCGAGATCCAGCTCGTGGAAGACGCGGGAAACGCAGGATCAAAGCGATGCCGCTGCCGGAGACACAGTCGGAATGGCCTGCTGCTACATTCTCAACTCAAGCCAATGCGTTACTTCGCAAAAATCTAGTTTTCCAGGTAAAGTTTCGATTTTACTTGACAGCGCGCCTGAGTTTTTTTCTTTCTTCCGTCGAACCATGAATTCCGATTTCCAGAGACGGCGATGGCTGCTAGTGCTCCTCCCGGGGCTGCTGTGCGTTTGCGCTTTGCAATGCAAAAGATAATTGACTTCGAGAACAACAAAGCCTCCAACAAGTGTGGCTGCGCTTGCGTGCCTCGCAACGATTCCAGCGGCTCTTGTGACAGAGTCTGGCATTGAGTATTCCACCGACAGGCAGGCGCTCACTTGCTCGGTTCCGTCGCCTCCGGAGGCCCCGGCCATGCTTTAAGTCCCAGATGCAAGATACCGAGCCGTCAACTTTGAAGGGAAGTTTCCTGGATTCCCAGATGTGACTCCGGATCTTGCGATTTAGTGCTCCTGTACACTGGGAGGAATCGATCATTGGCCGACAGTTAGTAGACGATCGAGAGATTGATTTCAGCTGACCAAAGATTTGATTGTCGCTTGTGCAGCACTGACGGATTATTTACTGAGCAATGGCTTCAATGCGTCTGCTGATCCCATCTTGTCAACTATCGTGCCGGTATATTTACGTTTTTCTTTTCACGGCAGCCAAGTATCTCACTTCATTGTCTTGGCCGCCAGGGAATATCTAGAAAAGTTCCATTGTCTTACTTTTTGGAGTCAATTTCCTGCACACAAGCTCTACAGAAGCTGGATCTCCTTGTCTACTACAACTCAAGCTATAGAGGCGATGTTGTCCGTATTCTTCGGGTTGCTCGAAGCATGAATATAGTAAGCTCTCTAAGCTTCTCACGTTTTGGATTAATTTTTTCACTTGCAGGCTGTTTCTCAGCGTTTCTGAAACGTTGCTTGGCAGCTGCCTTCGGCTTTTCGGAAAGAAATGCCGAAGAAACTATTTATAAACCTCACAGTCCCTCTCTTTTATATGTGGGTGGTACAGCTTCTATTTCCGGTAAGTTAACAGTCCATAGTACTTATATGCTTAGCTCTGTGGCTTTTGCAAGCGTAGGTGATTTTGATCTCCTTGGTTTATGAGAAAGAACGAAGGCTTCGAATGATGATGAAAATGCATCGATTAGGAGACGACCCCTACTGGTTTCCATGTTGTAGTTCTTTTTCATGATTTTTGGCTATGCCATCGGTAAGCTCATTTGCATCTGCAATATTCCGCTTGACGACCATCCTTTTCTAGGCTTAACTTTTTCAAAAAAAACTGTTACAGCATACAGTTTATAGTTTACTTTGTCTACATGAACATGCGAATAGCTATGGCTTTTCTGGCGACGAGACTGTTTTCGGATGTTTTGACTGCCACAGGTCAAGTTCTTTCCTTTTCATAGTTTGCGGGTACTTGTACGTTTTTGGGTTCGGGCTGTTAGGAACGTTTCTCATGGTGGTATATCGAGGACAACTATTAGCAGTAAGTGAACGCATGAAGATTATTTCAATCCAACTTCTGTCTTTTTTAAAAATTGTCTCAGGAAAGATATCTCTGCGACCGAAATACTTCCTCCCTATACGTATTCTCGCAGTAAGCGTTGCCGGGATCGAGGACTGGTACAAAGGGAATGGAATGGAAGGACCTCGATAATGGATTGCGGGAGATTCTTCGAATGAATTATTTTCCTAGTTCTGGCACATTACCTGGATAAAGTGATTGCTTCGGGGTACGGGCTGAAGAGAAGGCCATTGTTTTTTCCACAAGTCGGCAGCTGCAGCCAGACAATCTAAGCAGGCCAGATGTTGCAAACGAGGTATGTATCTCTTCAACATGAAACGTGCCTGACCTTTGCGTTATGTAGAGAGCAATCGTTACCATCAAGGTGGAAAGAACGGCTGGGCATCCAAGCGTGGGGATTGGCAGATACCACGCTAGAAGATGTTTTCATCAAATTAGCAAACAACATTCAAACTGGCTGTAAGGCGGAAACCTGGAATACTTCGAGTTGCATGAATCTGGTATGTTTCTTTCCCGGTTGTAATTTCCCTGCATTGACGAGTTTTGCCAGGAGATGAGAGACGTGATATGTTTTAGATTTTTCTTCGTTGTTTTCTACTTATGGGTTGACATCCAGCTTCTGCTTCCAATAAGTACGCTCGTTTAGTAATCTATTTGCATGTTTGACGATAAGAGATTTTGCAGGTGATGCCGATTGCGAGAAGAACGAAACCTTCGTACATGGATGATCCATAAATCTTGTATAGTATTTGTTCGGCTCTCTTGTCGGTAAGGTTTTCCTGATTTCAGTCACTGGAATGTGAATCACTGTGGCAGGCTTGCAGTTTTTTCGCTCACTCTCTTCAGTTTAATTCTTACATGGTGTATATGAACTTGCAAAATAGTTTTATCCTTCGTTGGCGCAACACTGTTTTTTCAAGTTAGCACAGCCAGAGGTATGTAGATGCAAACATTTGTTACTGTGCTATTTACCTTCGGATGAGCTATGCAGTTTGCGGGTACTTGTGTGTTTTTACCTTCGGGATGTTTGTACTTGTATGTCCAGCTCAAATCGAGATACGGCAGCTTGTTCACTTTCACAATCACGACGAGCCCGTGAGGCCGTGGGGGTGTTTGAATCCGAATATCCGCTCGCGCGTACGGCTCACGTTTTGCGGGAACTCAACGGTGGATCTTCATTGACTACGAGGCAGCCGAAGTTTCGTTCTTGGGGGGCATGACCGAGTGAAGGATTTGGGGGCGATTGAAAAGTCGGGCCTTAGGGCTTCTCTCGAGCTCCAGCTCGTGGAAGACGCGGGAAACGCTGGATCAGGGCGATGCCGGGGGGTGCCGTGCTGGAGACGCAGTCGGAATTGCCTGCTGCTACATTCTCGACGCAAGCCAATGCGTTGCTTCGCAAAAATCTAGTTTTCCAGGTAGGAGTTTCGAGCTTTTTCTTTCTTTCGGCGAGCTTCTTCGAACGATTTTATTGATTTCCAGAGGCGACGATGGAAAACCAGCTTGCTGCTGGTGCTTTTCCCGGGGCTGCTGTGCGTTTTTCTGTTCACGATGCAAAAGATCATCGACTCCGAGAACAACAAAGCCTCCAACAAGTGCGGCTGCGCTTGCGTGCCTCGCAACGATTCCAGCGGCGCTTGCGACACGGTCTGCGGCGTTCAATATTCCACCGACAGGCAGGCGCTCACTTGCTCGGTTCCGTCGCCTCCGGAGGTCCCGGCCATGCTTCAAGTCCCAGATGCAAGATACCGAGCCGTCAACTTTGAAGGAAAGTTTCCTGGATTCCCAGATCCACGATGCCGTGACTCCGGATCTTGCGATTTCGTGTTCCTGTACACTGGAGGGAATCGATCATTAGCCGACGGTTAGTAGACGATCGAGTGAGTGATTCTAGTCTGACGAAAAGTTTTATTCTCGCTTGTGCAGCACTGACGAGTAATTTACTAAGCGACGACTTCGATGCTTCTCCCGATCCCATGTCCATCTTGTCTACTATCGTGCCGGTATGTTATGTTTTTCTTCTCAAGGCTGCCAAGCATCTCACTTCATTGTCTTGGCGGCCAGGGAACATCCAGAAAAGTTCCATTCTCTTACTTTTTGGAAGACGCATTGACAAAAAACTTCAGCATTTTGTTGCGTGACTGCACGAACGCCATGGGAATTCCATGTAACCCTTTCTTTTTTTCTCTTCTATTGTTTTTGTGATCAAGAATGGTTTCAGGTGTTCCAACCGATATGGTTTGGAGGGACTCTAAGCAATTGATCGAAGAGGATATCTATGACGGCTACAGAAGAGCGAACCCTGAAAGGTTCATAAATGAAATAACTTTGGGTGAGGCGCTGGTGTTCTTTGTTCGTAGTACTAATACACGAATACACTTTCACCACGTAGCTTACAACTTCCTGGACACAAGTTCTCAGAATCTGGATCTCGTTGTCTACTACAACTCAAGCTATAGAGGCAACGTTGCAAGTAATGCTAATTCGGTTCTTCTTCGGGTTGCTCGAAGCATGAATATAGTAAGCTCTCTAAGCTTCTCACCTTTTGGATTAATTTTGTCACTTGCAGGCTGCTTCATCGTTTCTGAAAATGTTGCTTGGTCCTTCAACACAGCTGCCTTTTGCTTTTATGAAAGAAATGCCGAAGCAAGAATCAAAACTACTGATAAACTTCACACTGTTGCTTGGCCCTCTCTTTTATATGTGGGTGGTGCAGCTTTTATTTCCGGTAAGCTAACAGTCCATGAGTACTTATATGCTTTGCTCTGTGGCTTTTTACAACTGCAGGTGATTTTGGTCTCTTTAGTTTATGAGAAAGAACGAAGGCTTCGAATGATGATGAAAATGCATGGTTTAGGAGACGGCCCCTACTGGTTTATCAACTACGTTTACTTCCTTGCCTTTTCGATATTGTACATACTCTTTCTCATGATATTTGGTGCTGCCATCGGTAAGTTCATTTTCATCTGCGGTATTCTAGTTGACGAGCATGCTTTTCCAGGCTTGGACTTCTTCAGACAGAACAGTTACAGCATACAGTTTGTATTCTACTTTGTCTACATGAACTTGCAAATAGCTATGGCTTTTCTTGGGACGGCACTATTTTCACATGCTTTGACTGCCACAGGTTTGATAGTTTCATGTTTTTGTACTTTTCTCTCAAGCTCTTTACTTTCATAGTTTGCGGTTACTTGTACGTTTTTGGGTCCGGGCTGTTAGGATCGTTTCTCATGGAAAACTATATCGAGGACACGAATATTAGCAGTAAGTGAACGTTTGTAGATTTTTTCATCATAAATTTTCCTGGTTTGAACGTTTCTCAGGAAAGATTATCTTTGCGACCGAAATACTTCCTGGTTTCGCTCTCCATCGTGGCCTATATGAATTCTCGCAGTATGCGTTGCTGGGATCAAGTGCTGGTGAAAAGGGAATGGAATGGAGGAACCTTGCAGACCACGATAATGGATTGCGGCAGGTTCTTGCAATAATGCTCGTCGAGTGGATTATTTTCCTGGTTCTTGCACAATACCTGGATAAAGTGATTGCTTCCGGGTGCGGGTTGAAGAGAAGGCCATTGTTTTTCTTGGAAAGGTTTTTCCAAAAGTCGGCAACTGTAGCAAGTGATACAGATGATATAAGCAGACCCGACGTTGCAAATGAGGTATGTATCTCTTCGACATGAAAAGTACCTGATCTTTGCGTTACGTAGAGAGCAATTGTTGAGACGTTAAGGACTGCTAGCAATTCATCCTTTGCTATCATATGTGACGACTTGAAAAAGATATACGCTGGTAAAGATGGAAATCCGGATAACTACGCAGTTCGAAGTTTGTCGCTGGCTATACGGCGTGGAGAATGCTTTGGTATGCTAGGTCCAAATGGTGCTGGAAAGACTACTAGCATCAACATGGTAAGAATTTCCATTTTCATATCGCGAAAAAGACTGACTTTGCTATTCCGATAGATGATTGGGTTTTTGACTCCATCCTCAGGAAAAGCATTTGTTGCGGGATTGGATATTTCCAAAGACATGGATAAAATCTACACAGTTATGGGTGTCTGCCCTCAACACAAGTAATAACTGAAGAAGACTTCCTTTTTTCCCTTTTATTGGTGTAACTTGAATTTATTTTTCTCCAGTTTGCTATGGGGATCACTGACTGGAAGGGAGCATCTTCTATTTTATGGACGCCTAAAGAATCTCAAGGGTGCTGCTCTGGACTCCGTATGTGTTTGATTTTCCATTTCCTACCTGCACTCATTTTTTCGGATGTTATCAGGCCGTGGAAACATCTCTGAAAAATGTAAATCTCTTCTATGATGGGGTGGGAGACAGAAGAGCAGGGACATATAGCGGGGGAATGAAAAGACGGCTCAGCGTGGCCATTTCTCTCATTGGACATTCAAAAGTACGTATACACCTTGAAAACTCCGACTGAAAAACTAAAGCGTTGTGGCAGGCGGTTTATATGGATGAGCCAAGCACCGGATTGGATCCTGCCTCACGAAGGACGCTATGGAACGCTATCAAGAAGGCAAAGCAAGATCGTGCTATCATATTAACGAGTAAGTGATTCTTCAAGATTCGCGAGAGAGGGATTGTTATCGCTTGTTGTTTTGCAGCACATTCAATGGAAGAGGCAGAAGCCTTGTGCGATCGCGTTGGTATTTTCGTGAAAGGTCAGCTCCAGTGCATTGGCAACACGAGAGAGGTGAGTGAAAAAGAGAGCTCTCACTTTGTTTCATCAATTTTCTTTCCTCCAGCTCAAGTCCAGATATGGTGGCACTTACGTCTTCACTGTGACTGGCGACCCCTCGAAGGAGCAAGAAGTGGGAAATCTGGTGCGCGAGTGGTCGAGTGGTGCAAAACAGGTTTACAACCTCTCTGGCACTCAAAAGTTTGAGATACCGAAGGACGACGTGAAGATAGCTAAGGTGTTTAGAGAAGTCGGCGAGTGGAAAGAGCGGCTGGGCATCCAAGCGTGGGGATTGACAGATACCACTCTAGAAGATGTTTTCATCAAAGTAGCGACCAATTAAACGAGAAAGAAAAAGATCACATGACTTGTGCACAGGCTTAAAGGAAGACCGATGATCGTCGAATATGCCCGAGGCCAAAAATAACAAGCGCGATTAGAATCAATGATCGTCAAAATGACCAAAGGTTTATCGTCAAGCCCGAGCTGGGAACACAAGGGAATTCCATCATGGAAGGCATTGTGGTCGGATCCACCAATGAACCGCCGGTTTCACACCCAATCCTTCCACCAACAGTCCGCTGGAAAGATGAAAAGTAGTTGTGAGTATACACAAAGAACGAAAACCAAGAGGATTCACCTGAGATGTCTGTCTTGTTCCTCAGCCTCTGGAGCACAAGTCTAGCTTCCAATGAACTGCGGCAGCGTGGACAGCGTCTCACGTATCTCCGGAGGAGCAGTCTCGGCAATGTATCACTGTCACTGCGATGCCGAGACCCGAGCCGACCAGCAACCTTGACAAGATCAGCACGGCGACCACAGCATGATCGCAGAGCTCGTGGTGTAGAAAACCGCCGAAACGATGAGAATAGCTCGCTGGCCCAGCCACGATCCAGGCCCCGAGCTAAGGAGAGCTGCGACGGGCTCCACCGAAGACCAAGAACAAAGGTTCGTCGTTTCTCGAGAATGGATCCAGCCAGCACGTTTTGTATACACTGGAAGTCTCGTGGATCGCCAAACCTCTGCTCAAATCCGATCCAACACACAGCAGCTTCTCACAAGCCAGTAGTCTCCTTTTGGAAACCTCATCAATGTGGCTCCCAGCAGCAATCGTGCTACGAGTCCAACGTCGAGAAAGGCGAGGGGATTTCGAAGAAGGTGGGGTGGTGGGAGAGATTGAGGAGCTCTTAACTCCACTGCTGTGACAATGTGCAAGCTCAAAGTTGGCAGCATGATGGGAGTTAACTCAGTGTGAATGGGACTATGGTTGTGAACCTGACTGTGAGTGCTCAGCTGGCACTTTGGAATGGGATAACCAGAGGACCATTGTCAGTGATCAAGAACACCAATAGTTTTTTCTTAACTTTGAAAGAAATTCATTGAAACTTTGAAGCTATAAATTTTTAACATACACCATTGGATCGCTTTGAAACTTTTGAGCATGTTACTCCCTTATCCTCCTAGCTTCTCACCATTTGGATTTCCCATCTGAGTGTTCAACAAAAATTCTGAAGCACTAATAGTAATTAATAATTTTTCATGTGCTTTGAAACTTAATTAAGTCATTAGATCATACTAAATTTAGTCCACAGATACCCACTAAGGTCCTCTTCAATCCCATCAGAGCAATTTGCAATCCAGGTAGTGGTTCCTCTACAACATTTAAATCAAAGAGGCAATAAGGCTAGAGTTAAGATTGAGCAGAACTCTATTACAGCCCATTTGGATAGATTTTCTAAGTTTGGTGGGAGGTTTGATTTTGCAAGTGATGCCCAAATTTAAAACTCACCAAAAACTTTGGAACTATGAATTTCCAACTTCAACTAGTATGTGCTTCTCCACCTCAATTATGTCTCTATTGCTTAAATTTTGCATCTGATGCCTGAAAATAAACTCTATTGCATTGGTAGAAACTATTAAACTTTTGTTGTGCTCAGAATTTTTTATGTTGATATTTTGTGATTCAGCCATTAGATCTTTATGAAACTTCACTAATAAGTTATTGTATTTCTAAATAGTTCTAAAAATCTTCAGTAATTAATATATCCAAATCTCATTCCATAATCATATAGTTTATTCTCAATAGAGTTTTTTGTGGCAATGCTTCTAGTTCTAAGCTCTACCATCAATATTTGTTCTCTAGAATGGATTGATTAGAGTTCTAAAGTTTAGGTGAAAAGCTTTGCAAGGTTGATTACTATCTCTAAAACTTTATATATAATGCCTTGGTGTGTGAGACCATAAAGGATTGCACATTATAATACCTACATATTGCAAATGTGACTATAAGTATCAAAAGTATTGTAAATTGGGCATAATTAACCAACTTGACATTTATTTGTTTGGCTATCCTTATTTTGTATTTAACTTGGGTCTAAGCTTAAACTCCATACCATGTTAATTAATGAAGTATTTATATCCTTATGTTAGACCATTGGTATGTCGAAATAGTGCCAAACTTTAACCCCTAAAAACTTACCCCCAAAATAAGTATGCAATTTCATGCTAAATTAAAACACGGCCATCATTTGAGATCTCCATTGATGACTTCTTGGGTCCATGCAAATTTATGTAGATTGCAATTGAATTTCCCAACCTCTCACCTTGCATAACAACCTAACACTTCTTTCAAGCTAGTTTTTATATTACCTCCTCATTATAGTCTTTGTGTGTTAGATCCTAAACTTTATTGTCACTGTCCTTATGATTATTGTCATTGTATATTAGATCTTGGACTTCATTGTCATTGTCCTTGTTATTGTTATCATTGTATGTTGGATTTTGGACTTTGTTGTCACTTTCCTTGTCATTATTGTCATTGTATGTTTGATCTTGGACTTCATTATCATTGTCCTCATCATATGTTAGATCCTAGAAATCTTGGACTTTATTGGACTTTATTATTTCCTTTATGTGGATTTAATTATAAGATGCTGGGAAACTTTATCCTCATTATGTTAGAGTCCAACATCCTTGCTAACTGAAGGCAGATCCTAGAGGTGGAACATTAACTATGCTAGCTTTATCCACCCACCTACAATAAACATAAAAAAGGACTAGTAAATCAAAGTAAGTGAAAATGAAAAACTTACTTTAAAGCAACATTTTTAAGTCTTTCAAATTTCACTATATATAAATTTTTGTGTCGAAATTGAACAAACATGGCTTACATTCTATCACTCCAAAGCTCATATATCCCATCTAGTCCTAAAATGAATACGGGCAGTAATGTATTATATGCTTCTTGGTTCCATTGCAGTATAATCGCCACACCACCCACAAAGTAAAAAAACATTTAACTCTATTTTGCATATTGGTATTAGCATTGATATTGGATGTTTTAAGATTGTTTCAATGTCATTCTTTAGGCTATATGCTTAAGAGTTATTTTATGCTTTAATTGATTTATTTCTTGGTTAAATGCTTAGGAGTTTTACTCCATTTTTATGTTTAGAGACCTAAAGCCTTGAAGCTTGAATTCCACTCTATTGCCTTTGGTATATGTGTTCAAGGGTTCTTATTTTGCTCTATAATTATCCTATACAACACATTAGTGGTGTTTGACACATTGTGTTACAAGATGCTGCAAAACAAATTAATTGTTATAATTGCCAAAAGAAGAGGAGGGAAGAGATATGTGTGTTATGTTTATTTTTTTTTGTAGAAAGTAAAATTTCTATCCTTCTTATACAAAATATTGTGAAAGGTATAGTATTTCATCCTTTCTTTACTTTCCTTAAAGAGAGAATGTAAAAGATGACAATTACACTAGTTGTAACTTGCATGTAACATTTCATCTTTCAATTAATGCCCTTTTCCTATCTTGTGTGGAATATTAGGTTCCTCAAAAATGAAGTTTTTTGTTTTTTGGCATTAAAGAACATGGTTGTTAGTGACAAGGTAATAGTATTCCTTGTATGATATATACATCTAAAAGTCTTTTTTTATGATTTTATATCATCTTATTTGAATTGTTTTTAATAGATGACACTATTTAGTAACTTGAAAAAAGGTATTTCATTTCTTTATAGAAGGTTTAAGCTAAATTTTTCATTAATTGTGTAGAGGTATTGGCATGCTACTTTAGCAGGAAAACATCTTGCTCATAGAGTTGAATGAAAATAATTGATAATTCATTTCTCCTTAACCTAGAAGGTTTAAATTTGTTATTAATTGCAAACTCCCTCCCATATGATAAATTGCTCACACGAAGAAGAGCACTAGAGTTCTACATATAAGATCATACAAAGAGATAAGGAGAAATAAAAAGAAATTCTTAGAGTTAAAAGGAGAATAACACTCCATTCTCCAAGTGTTCCTTCTATTATTATAAAAAATGGCCTTTAAATTTTTATTTGTTTTTCCCATGGTGTTTCATTCCTTGTTTAAAATCTATTTGAAGTGTTGCTTCCTTACCTTTTTATTTTTTGTAAGTGATACTTAAATTTTGAAACTAACTGAAACTTTGAAGTTATAAATTTCTAACAACACTGTTGGATTGCATTTAAAGATTTTAAGCATATTCTAACTTTTCCCTTCTAATTTCTCATTGTTCAGATCTCCTTTATGAGTTTTCAATAAAAATCCCGAAGCATTGATAGTAACTAAGAACGTATTTATTTTGCAATTGAGCCATTAAATCATGCTAAAAGTTTATCCATAAATACCCACTAAAATCCAAATGGGATATAATAAAGGTATGCTCAACCCTGAGTGTGTAACCTCATTGCCCCTTTAATTTTTGTAAGTGATACTAAACTCATCCAAACTTTGGAGCTATAAATTTTTAAATTCAACCATTACACTATCTCAAAACTTTTTGAGCATGTATTCTTTCACCCCTACTATGTCTTTGCTGCTCAAATTTTACATATAAAGCCCCAAACAATTCCTAATGCATTAATAAAAACCTTAAACTTTTGTTGCAGTAAAAACTTCCATATTGATATTTTGTGATTTAGTTGTTAGATTTTAATGAAATTTCACCTTCAAGATGCTGCAAAACAAGTTGATCATTGTAACTGCCAAAAAGAGAAGAGGAAAGAGGAGAAATCTATATCATGCCCATTATCTTCTAGGCATATGATTAATTTTTATGGTCTAAGAGGTAAAATCTTTGTTTTATTATACAAAGCATTATAGAAGGTGTGGTATTTCATTCATTCTTTGCTTCCCTAATAAAATAATGTATAAAATGGCAATCACACTAATTATAATTCACATGTAACACTTTATCTTTATTATCCCTACCTTCTATATTTTAATTCTTTAGCTTTTTAGTTGAATGCTTGGGATTTTATTCTACCCCTCTGTTTAAAGGCATAACTCCTTGAGGCTCATGTTCCGCTCTATTACCCTTGGCACATGTGTCTAAAGGTTATTGTTTTACTCCATAGTTATTTTATATTAAATCATTATAAAAGGGTGAAAACCATGTGTGTTATACCACATTGGTGGTGTTGGACATATTATGCCATAAGATGTTGCAAAACAAATTAATCATTACAACTGCTAAAGGGAGAGGTGGAGGGAGGAGAAATGTGCATCATGCCTATTATCTTCTATTTATATTATTAGTGTTTATAGTACTAAAGGTAAAATCCTTATCCTCTTTATATGGTATTTCATTCTTTTCTTGCTTTCCTTAATGAGAAAGCTTCTAAAAGATGAAGTCTTTCATTTTCAAATATCAAAGAACATGGTTGTTGGTGGCAAAGTAATAGCATTCTTTATATGGTATATAGATCTAAGAGTTTTTGTGATCTTATTCATTTTATTTGGATTTTTTTTCAGTGGAAGAGACTATTTAGCAACTTGAGAATATGTATTTCATTTTTTTCTAGAAGCTAAATTTGTCATTGATTTTATAAAGGCATTGGTATGCTACCTTAGTAGGAACACATTTTACTCATACAGTTGAATGAAAAAAATTAATAATTTATTTCTCCTTAGCTTAGAAAGTTTAAGTTTGTTATTGATTGTAGAGCCCCTTCCTGATTATAGCTTCCTTACACGTCAAACAAGAAAAAGAGCACTAGAGTTCTATCTCAAGAAGAAAACAATTTACACACACAATCATATGAGGAGATAAAAAACAATAAAGAAGAACTTATAGAGTCAAAATAAAACAACACTCTCTTTTCTCAATGTTGCCTCATTATTCCCAAATATTACCTCTAAAGTGTTATTTTATTTCTCTTCAAGGATGGCAAGCAACTCATTGCAAAGGTTTATAGTGGCAGTGAGGTACATGCAAAGTTGTAAGTGTTGCCATTGCAAGAGAGAGGGATCAATCACCAAAAAAGAATGTACCAGTTATAATGCAAAGAAATGATGATGCAATTGCATCTTTGACACCTTGTCAAACTTCCTTCAGCAAGATTGAGTTTCACTGCATTGCCTATGTATAACTGCTATTGCTGCTCAGGCCATCCTGTACCACCATTGTTATAAATCTCCACTGGTTTTCTGGTTATGGGCCCAGGAAAAGCAGCCTTACATCTCTCTTTTATGTTGGGAAACATTGGAAAAAATGTCGGTGGTAGATCTCTCACAATATTTCATAAACTCCATACGTTTTTGCTGTGCAAGGTTATTCTCTTATGAAAGACAAAAAATTTAAAGAGAGGCTGAATAAAGCACTAGCCCTGTTGGTTTGAAGCTGATAAGAAAGCTTCGATCTCTGGCACTCTTTCATTGACAATGAAAAAGTCCCAGGTGATGAAAGCTTAACAAGGATGAAAAAAAAGAAAAGAAAGGCCTTTTTATGAACTCTACAACACTTCCATATAAGTAAGTATAAGCAGGGCAGGCTTGTTGATGTTGTTGAGCTTCTTCCTGCATCCCAAGAGACGGACGTTATTCTTGATAGCATAACATCCTGAAGGTTTCCAATAACAACTGAAAATTTTACATAGGTCGCTGCATGTTAAGTTCTAATCCTGCAAGCTTGGATACGGCTGGTAGCGATCATCCCCAACTGTGGTAAACAGCTTCTCCCCAATTTCCCGCAACACAAGGTGAAACCACTCTCGTCTTAATCCACCCATATCATGTCTTGATTCGCCCACAAACTCCAAAACCAGAGCCTGAGCACCTCCGGCGTCAGCTGCACAAGACCCTTGTGAGAATCCTGTAGAATGCAGTCCCTCTTCACGCGGAGCAGCGGACGTGCAGATTTCGTGCAAGACGTAGAGCTGCCTCGCACAAACTCGACCTTGAACTCCAAGCCCAAGCGAAAAAGGCACAGCCACTTGAGGCGACGAGGGTGTCTTGGCTATGCTTTGTAGAAGAGTCACGGGGTGCGCTTTGTAGAAGAGTGGTTGAGTGAGGGGAGATAGACTTTGCCAACAACGAATTGAGGGATTCGGTTCATATGGTTATAACAAGAAAAGAAGAATCCTATTTCATGGTTCATCTAACTATCATCTAACTAGCTGCCAGCTGTTGAATGTTCACAGGGAAGACATCACCCTTGCCTCCACTCCACCACCTTTGTGCCGCAATCTTATAAAGGCTCTGCGTGTGGTGGATACCATCAAAGTACATGTAGCTATCCGGACGAAGGCAAGCAGGAGCGTTCACCCCACAAAACATACTCCCTGTGCAGCACCCCCGAGCAGTGTTGCTAAACCCATACTTGCTGGGGTTCTTCATCGTCTCCACCATTAGGCCATAGTAATCCGGCTTGACAATCGCCACTCCGTCCAGGCTCTTGCGCAATCCATCCAGCATCTCGTCCAGGGCAGCGTTAAACATGACCGACACCTCGTTCGCGTGCTCGTCGCACTGGCCATTCTTCTGGTTCACGGGGATGCATCCTACCGCCGACAGCCCGACGATCACGAACTTCCTTGCGCCGCGGCTGTGCATCCGCGTGATCTGCTGCGCAAACCTGGCCAGCAAGTTCGCCTGGAAGTCTGCCGGGAGGGAGGTGAGCCTGTTCTTGTTCGTGCTGCTCCGGAAGAAGTTGTTCACGTCGTTGTTCCCCACGCTGATGTAGAAGATGGACTTGGCGAAAAACTGCGAGGCAGCGTGATTCCCCATCGTGGCGTATAGAACGTCCGCCACCCTTTCGAAGTCGTCAAGCTGTTGATCCATGACGAGAGCACCGTTGAGGCGAGTGGTGGGCAGGATCCCGGAGCTAGCAGACGCGAAGTTGACGCCCCGGCTGTAGGATCTCGTCCCGCGATAAGGTGGCACCAGAGGGAGACCCAAGTTCTGGGCTATGAAATCCGGGACCGTCTTGCCGTTGGTGAATCTGCCAGTGGGAAGGCCGCCCGGGAAGCTCATGCCGTAGGGGCGGTGATTCGCTCGAGCATACGTTGGCAGGAAGTTGTTGTTGCCGGCGTCCACTGTCGAGTCGCCAAAGATGAACATCGCAGGAGCTTGCGCGGTGCAGGCTAGAGGGAGGAGCAACGCCGCGAAAAGAAGAACGCACATACTCGGACGAGAAGCCATCTCCATCTCTCTGGATTCTCAGGGTGGTGGGGGCTTCTTTATACTATTTGGTTGGCGACCATGTATGGAATGGCCAAAGTGAGCCTGCTCAAAAGGGAGTGACTTAAAGGGAAGATGTAACAAAGAAATGCCGGGTACCTTAGCTTTTGTATCGGGTCCTTTCACGGAGCTCCGAGTCTACACAAAAGTATCAAGTAGATGATCATCAAGCAATTTATCAAACTCACAGCGAACTTATGCCTGATTGCAACTGTTTTGAAAAAGAAAAACGTGATCAAAGATTGGATTGAGTAAAAAATGAATCCCACCTTAAACTGCTAACGAGCTGCTGCAAATCCCATTGCCTCATACAAATCAGTCAGTGTCCTCTTGGCAATGGCGTTGGCCTTGGCAGCGCCGTCGCAAAGAACTTGATCCAGGTAGCTCTCATCGCTCATCACCTCTGTGTACCTTTTCTGTTACCATGCGAAAACGAGTAAGTAGTGCGATACAAGACCACATTTAGCTCAAACTACCACCTGAATAGGATCCAGATGTTCGACCAATGCATCTGTGAGCAAAAACTTGAATGCGCCCCATGTCAAGTCCTGACATTCAGCTTCCACTTCCTACACGTTAAGAAAAAGGTATGCGATGATGGTCAAGAAAATTGATGGATATGGAGAAACTAGACCTGTCTGGACTTCCCGCTCACTAACTGGTACACAGACAGCAAGTTGCTACATTCTGGCCTTTCGGGATTGTCAAACTCCATCCTGTACAGAAACCAGTTAGTTGCAAGCCTGGCTACTGGTATAAATACTTACCCCGTCAAGGAATCTGTTTTACACCGCTTGATTTTGTATGCAATATCCTGCAAACAATGCCATTGGAGAACAAAAACTAGAGTAGCATGCTTACGCACGTCACGTGTATCGAGCATGTTGATCCGAGATTGGTCTGACGCCGCTGATTTCGACATCTTTATGGCAAAAAAAACACCAACCAGTACGCTTAGAAACTTAGCTGGAAGACAAGTTTTTAAGCAAAGCTCATGCAAAAAACTATCATTCGACAGAGGAAGTCCCATTTACCTTCGATGTTCCGTCAGTAAGCGACATGATACGCGCCCCGGTCTTTGGAATTAAAGCTTCTGGAACCTGAAACATCTTTTTCGAGCTTAATGTCGTGCTGGTAGTATAGAGTCTGCACCTTAAAAATGCGCCCTCCGCGCCTGTATGAGATATAATCAATGCATTTGCAGGCATGGAAAGAAAAACCTACCCTCCCAGTTTTTTCCATTTACGACCTCCATATGTAGAGTTTATTCGTTCTGCAACATCCCGAGTCAGTTCCAAGTGCTGACGCTGGTCATCGCCAACAGGGACAAGATCTGTCTGTTCTCTCGAATTAGAAAAACAAAATGTGATGGAGCAAACACAAGGACTACCTGATAGAGCAGTATATCTGATGCCATGAGTAAAGGGTAAGTTAGAAGTCCAGTTCCTACGTCCTCACCCTGAAAACCAAATGAAGGAACGAAAAGGAGACAAGCTTTCAAATACCTGTCTTCGTGATTTTTCTTTGAATTGGATCATTTTGTTAAGCCAGCTGATAGGTGTAACGCAGCTCAAAAGCCAGGTTAGTTCCGCATGAGCTTTAACATGAGACTGAACAAACATGGCAGCCTGCAGCAAACTCGCAAGCTCAAATGGGAGTAAAACAATCGATAAATGAGTGATTACCTTGGATGGATCAACACCGCATGCAAGGTACATAGCCGCCGCTGCCTTTGTTGCCTTTAACAATTCCTCGGGAACGTGTGGCAAAGTTATCTATGATAATGGCATTAGAGAATCCAGCATAAAATCCCAAGAACACTCACGGCATGGAGGTCGACAACAAAAAAGTACGTGTCGTATAGTTCCTGCATCGCAAATCGAGAATGGATAGAGAAAAGGAACTTGAATTTACAAAGCAAAGAAAAAAACCTGTAGTTCGATCCAGTTCTTGATAGCCCCGAGATAATTCCCCAAGTGAATTGTCCCCGTTGGCTGGACTCCAGACACCACCCTTTTTCTCGTCTGGATCCGAGGCGCGGAAGAATCATACTTGAGAGACGCAGGGGCCGCCACTTGAGCTGCGGCATTGTGCTCCGCCAGGCACGGGAGTTTGCGCAGCCGGGAACGATCCTGCAAGCTAACGGCAGCGTCGATTCAAGATGGCGCCCGGCATTTCCAGCTCCAATCGATCCAAACATACCAGAGAGGCGAGAGAATCGCTGCCGCTGCCGCTGCGCCACACATCCCACGCTAAAACCCTAGAGGTAATCTCCTTCGAAATATTTGCCCGCGCTTTATGCAACCATATATCCAAACAACACTGTACATTATAAGCGTAGATATTACATCGCAGGAACTTTACTCGATTTCCATTCCTTGAATGAAATCGTCCTCGTCAGTGTCAGCCTCATTGTCAAGGCTTTCATCAGCTGCTAGTTTGCTAAGAACAAGGAAATAAAAAACGAAAGAAATCACGAGAGGAAAAATCTGGTAAAGCAAAAACTTTACCTCACGCTTTGGCAGCTGAAGTAAAGCACGCGTTTTAGCTTCTTGTTGTAGAAGAAGTAATTGAAGGACCATCTACACCATCTCCCACTCGCTATAATCTATCAGCCGCAAAAACAATCGCAAGTTACTCACATCATGCCACCGTCGTTGAAAGGCCCGACTTGAAACTCTGGTGAGAAACTGTATATGTCACAGTCCTTGATGTCTATCACCTGGAGAAAGAAATGAATGAAATGTATAAAACACCTAGTGCGCAAGAGCTGCGTACCTCGTCGATTACTTCCCAGATAGCATCGATGAGAAGAGAACTATTTCCTAGCTCCGAAGCCCAAACCTGGCAGAGTTTTCACTTTCTTAGTCATAAACAAACTTCCAGCAAGATACAGAAAAGCAAAACACTACCCGAGTCGCCTCTAACAGATGATAACCGATGCTCTCCTTCACACCAAGAGGATTTTCTTTCGAGAAATGGTGCGCACGCAGAGTACTGGGCTCCCAGAGAGTATTAGAAGGAGATCAAAACGAGGAAAAAACGAAAGAACCACCACCACGTCTACGGATAAAAAAATGGAAATGGAGAGACTTGAACTCTCAAGCCCCTCACGGAGCAACGGCATTCACCGTTTGTCAACATTGGACATCACTTCCAGAAAGTATAGAGGAAAGGTCGGGTTGCTAAAAGCCACTGTTGTACCCGGAAAAAACTGGTTACCTGAAATCGTAGTCTGGATACATATGAGACAGCGTCAGTATGAGATGAATCAGCGTCCTCCGACTAAAGAAAAACCAAGAAAAACGTAAGCAAGAAAGAAAGAAAGCAAGGAGAGTTGCAATTAAAGTGTGTACCTCGACAAGCTAGAGAGGGGGCCAACAGGCGAGGAGGAAAGGTTTTGCGGTGACATTTCAAGGGAGTCAAGAACCTGAAACAAAAGGAAGACAAAAATCTCGCATAGTTGTAAGAAAATGTGAGCCAAGATATCACGACTTACTTCTTGCTCTATGCTGCGAGAGAGCTTCTTGTCCGTGCCAGCAAGCTTGCCTGTGCAATAGAAAGCTTTCTTTCATTTTGATCCTTTGTGGAAGTCAAACTTACAGGAGTAAGCTTCAAGAACCCCTTTGAGACGACAATCCCCAAGATCCAAATTGCTTAGAAATCCATTTATCCTGCCCGTGGGAGAACTGCTCAGCGCAAGAGCCTAGCTACAATCTAGTAGCAAGAGAAGTACCTTGTGAAAGGTGTGTATTCGAGGAACTTCATGGCGATGGTAGATCAAATTGGTACTGGCGAGATGGCGCTGCGAGAAAAGAATCGTGGTGTTGGAACTAGAGCAAGAGAGAACAAGGTTGCTCGTTTACCTGACACGCGCAGACCATCAAGGCGAGACAAAAACCTAATGTGGGCAGTAGAGAAAATATGCTCCAAAGGATATACTACCACATCATCCGGAAAAATAGCCTTGAGCTAATAAAGGAATGGTTAAACTGCCATTTTGCCCAAGAATCAGCATTCATTGCCGGATGATCGCAATCGAGTCTAGATTTCTTTTTCCTTCTGGTCCTTTGGAGTAGAAATCCGAGACGTGATCCCGGAAGAGAACTTCACCGTAGAGGCGAGGATTTTGCTCGTCAATGAGCTCCGGAGCGGGAGAGATCCTCGTGTTCTTCGAGGGATCGTAGAACGCAGCAATCGCCATTCTTTTATTCGTGGAGTTCACGACGACCCTGTGCTCCACGCTCTTGTATCGTCCATTGCTAAGGACCTGTAAGATCGGAGCATAGCTTTTTTCTGGTTTTTCTGGAAGAACATGAAGGCTACCTCAACTTGGTCGCCTAGATTTGCGATGAACGCCCCTGGAACAGGCTTGACAGCAAACCATCGGCCGTTCTTCCGGACTTGTAAGCCACCGACGTGATCTTCCATGAGCAAAGTTATGGCACCGAAGTCGGAGTGTGATTGTAGGCCGAGAGTTAGATCCGGCTGGGGGCATGGCGGATAGTAGTTCATCACTATGTTCTGGAATGGCTCCCCGATCGCGTCCTCGATGAATTTGGACCCAAGTCCCAGGGACTCGGAGATAGCAGCAAGCAATTGCCTCGAGAGGGCGAGCACTTGAGCGCTATACTCTTCGATCATTTGCCTGCGAGCAAACCATCCATGAGCAAAAGCTGAGCAAAAGCTTCGCAAAAGTTTGTAAGAATCAAAGAAGTTCTTCACCTGTAAGATTGTTCGTGAGGCCAATTGCTCGAATTCCTCCTCCAAATGGGATGCGCGTGATGGTTGAGATAATCTCTCCAATCCAAGACCTGATCGTCCCGAGTGAGCATCCGGTTCGCGAAGCCCTCGGCGGCCATCTCTCCAGGAGGAGTCGAGAATTGGAGCTTCTCACACATCGGCCTCTCGAAGAAAATCTCGGCAGCTCGTCGCATTCCATCCATGAGCTGCAAGGGCACGCCGTGATTCGTAACATGGAAGAAGCCCCAATCCGTACAGGCGGCGCCGATCCTCCTCACAATCTCGGCGCGCTCGCGCTCTGATCCCTCTCCCAGCCCCGAAATATCGATCACTGGGAACGATTCCTGGAAGAATGCGTCGTGCGCTAGACCCGGGCGCTCGCATTCCGGCCGAACAAAGCAGGATGGAATGGATCCGCAGCTCCTCTCCGCGATGGACTGGACGCTCTCCATAGCCATAAACCCTAATCTTTGGATGCTGGCGGAATATTTCCATTTGTTTTTGGGCGGCAATGGAGGAAGGAGGCGATGGCGGCGACGCCATGGCCAGCGGCAAGGGATTGAAGACTGGATGCGGCCTCTTCGCCCAGCAATTCAAGGCGCTCATGCTCAAGAATCTCAAGGTCTCGATGCGCAACAAGAGGGCTTTCTTCCTCCAGGTGGCCTCCTCTTTCGGCTTCATCTTCTTGCTCTTCGTCGTCGATCAGGCAGCTATGGCGAGCCGCCGCAGCGATGCCTACTACAGGGACGTGGTCGCAGCGAACCCTAAGCTTGTGGCTGCTATCCCGGCTTGCGAGAGCAGCGCCTTCATCCGGCCGCCGTGCTACGATTTCTTGTGGAGCGACAGTAGTAATCCGGATTTCGCAGCCATCGTGGAGAAGATCATGGCAAACAATCCAGGACGACCGATCCCTTCGCACAAGGTGATTCATTCTTTTGCTTTAAGTTTTTTTGCCTTGTGATATCGAATTTTTCTTTGGTAAGTTTTTCAGGTGAGAGGCTTTGGATCATCCAGCGAAGTGGATTCGTGGTTGCTATCAAACCCAATGGCGTGCAGTGGGGCATTGCATCTCGAGCAAAGCTCCGCAGGTGTGATCTCCTATGGCTTGCAATTTAACTCCACTCCCAGCGGTGTTTTGTTGCGTGGGAAGCATGAGAACGCACCCTTTAACTTCCAGCTGCCTTTGCAAGCGGCTGTGGAGAGGGAGATTACTCGCTTTCTAACTGGTACGCTCGAAACTAATACCATCAATTGCTTAGTACCATGCTTTCGTTTATGCAGGCAAGGATATCGAGTGGAATGTATGGTTTTCCGAGTATCCCCACCCCGATCTTGGAAGGTTTTCCAGTGTTGGAAGCTTTGGTCCTACTTTTTTATTCGCCTCTACTATGTTTTCAGTGGTGATTCTCATCAGCAAAATTGTTTACGAGAAAGAACTTAAGCTCAGGCAGGTACGATTCTAAGAAATGGTCAAGCAGAAGTTTCTGACGCTTACACTTAGCAGGCCATGTCGACGATGGGCCTGTTTGATTCCGTTTACTGGTTAACTTGGCTTACTTGGGAGGTTATGCTGGCTTTGAGCTCTTCGGCCTTTCTAATTATTTCAGGGATGATTTTCCGGCTGAACTTTTTCTTGAATAATAGTTTGCTCATACTGTTTCTTATATTTTTCTTGTTTCAGTTCAACATGGTAAGTTTCAATGATTTGTCTCTTTCGTTTTAACAAAGTACTGGCAACAGATTGGATTCGCATTTCTGTTCTCGACTTTTGTTACTAAGCTAGAAACTTCAAACTCCATGGGCTTTTGTATTTTTATTTTCGGGAGCTTGACTCAGGTATGCACAAGTCTCTCTCTTTGCTGTTTGCTAAGTTCTTCTTTCCATTTAGCTGGTGACAACGATGGGCTTCCCTTACGACCCCCGTTATCCCTCTTATATCAAAACGCTGTGGTCATTCTTTCCTCCAAACGTATTTGCCATTGGACTCATGTATCTTGGAGAGGGAACTGCAACTAAAAGAGACCGAGGTCTTCTTTGGAAAGATGTTTCATCATGTCCTCCATTTCACGTGGACTGTAATATTGTGATGGTAAGCTTGCAATGTTGTCCGCTCTCTAATGTGTTTGATACTGCCAGGCGGAGGTTTTCGTGTGGCTCTTTGGAACATTTTTTATCTGGTTCTTTCTCGCAATTTACTTCGACAACGTGTTGCCTGACGCAAATGGCCTTCGAAAGTCCTTATATTACTTTGTGCGGCCATCCTACTGGGCTGGGAGATCTCGCTGCAAAAGAGGTACGCGTGCATCTTCCAGTAGCAAGTAGTAAATGTGCAATCTGAACAGCTGAAAGAGATGGAACCGTGGATCCGAACGTGGCTGTACAGCTGAGAAACCTCACGAAAGTATTTCCTGGTGTAAGATCAAGAGGACACTGGAAGAAATCACCTCCTTTTCATGCACTCCAAGTAAGTTATGGCTGTTCATTCTTTTCTGGTTGCCAAATCGTGACAATATTCAGGGGGTAAGCTTGGACATCGAGAAGGAGAAAGTGTTTTGTTTGCTTGGTCATAATGGAGCTGGCAAGACGACAATCATCAACATCCTCACGGGCATTCTTCCTCTAACTTCAGGGGATGGTAATGCTCTTCGAACCAGCTGTAATCCATTCAAAGCGTGAAACAGTCGCTCTTTGGCAGCTCTGGTCTATGGAATGTCAGTTACGAACGGTATGGCTCAAATTCGACATAGCATGGGAGTTTGTCCACAGGTAAGTCAGCAATGTATATTTCAAAAGCTCACCGAAATTCCACTCGTTCTCAAATCAGTTTAATATTCTCTGGGACGCGCTTACTGCGATTGAGCATCTACAAATTTTTGCCAGCATCAAAGGAATGCAGCCATCAAGAAGAAAAACGGTCAGCTCATCTCCGTAACTTTCTTTTCATTGTTTTGAGTTAGTTCTATGATACAGGAGTGTAAACGACTCTTGCTCAGTTCTGATCTGTTGGAATCATCTCGGGGGAGGGTCAGCGCCTACAGTGAAGGGATGAAAAGGCGGCTGAGCGTAGCAATAGCTCTTATTGGTGACCCGAAAATAGTCTTCCTCGACGAACCAGTACGTAATGCAATGAACGTAAGTTCTATGTATATAATCCTCTTCCTTTTTGTCAGACAACAGGCATGGATCCAATTTCACGGAGGAAGGTATGGGAGATCATTGAGAAGTTAAAAACAGATCGAGCGATTGTCTTAACTACTCATTCCATGGAAGAAGCAGACAACTTGGGTGATAGTATTGCCATCGTAGCAAATGGCACACTTCGGTGTGTCGGTTCCTCGATTCAGCTGAAACAGCAGTTTGGAGAAGGCTACATCGTCACTTGCAGCGTTAAAAGCACGGATAACAAAGCCGCGGTCAAGGATTTCTTTAAGCTTGTAAGTTTCAAAACACTTCTGCGTTTAAGTTGTAATTCCTGTACATTTCTTCTGTGCAGTACATGGACGTTGTAGCGAAGGAAGAGACCAGGTCTTACATGTCGTTCATTCTTCCGCGCCGAGATGAAAATCTACTTGCGGTAAGACCCAAGCATGCATGTACACAATCTAATATTTGTGACATGTTTCTCTGGAAGGTTTTCTTTGAGTTGCTTCAGAAGAAGCAAGAAGAGCTTGGCATTTTAGACATCCAACTCAGCCTCTCAACATTGGAGGAAGTTTTCTTAAACATACTGGAAGGAACAGGACAATCATGCAATTCAGAGCTTAAAGACTAACCCAAGGGTATTCCTCTATGTTTAATTTTCTAGGGCCCCTCTTTGCAGCCTTGCATTCACCTTCTTCTCCAGTATTCATAGAAATTGATTTAATCCAGGCATTCTCCTGCCATTTTACAAGGCTGGCCACAAAGCCAACTTGCCATTACTTCCATTGCAGGTTGTCCATGGTGGTGAACTCATTCTTAGCAGGTATGCCAAAAGCTACGGACTGTGTTGGGCATTTTTCACCAACATAGCAGACTTTCTCATGCCGGAGCTTTGAAAGTCCTTCAGTCAGAAGTGCCTCAACTGGCTCAATGAAAAGAGCCCGTCCTAACTTGGCAATATGAAGTGTTTACAAGCCCAACTAAAGCAAGTACCCATACGTATGCATGCAATTCCACTACTTGCACGAACCCCTCTCCATCTCCTTCGAGATTATTTGTAAGTTGGCACTGGTGGTATTATCTCATGTTAATTATGGGATATGTCGTTCTTGGTGGATTCTAACCTCAAGGAAGAAGTTTCTCTTATTTTCTCTTATTAGTCCAGATGTAAAAAATATATCCAATTATACTCAAAAATATTCTTTAATTCAATGGCTGTAATATTCCGCTCTTAAAATCTTCTCTAATTTCTTGCAATTAACATTTATTTTTATAATCTTACTTATCACTAATACAAATCAAGTAAGAAATTGTTAAGAGGGATCACTTCCAAGTTATCACTAATTCATGACATGATTTTGGGCTTGCAATAATCAATCACAAAGACCATTAAGAGTTTAGGTCAAAAATACAAGTTATGATTTATTGAGAAGTAGAAAATATCATCTTTTACATGTACTTAAAACATGTGGTATAACACAAAAAAAATTTATCATTAATTTACTTCTAACCTTTTGAGGAAATAATGCTATTTTTGTTGTTGTAGATTATTTGATGAAAAAAATTATTTCTTCTCAATGAAGTGTAATCAACTAAAGAAGTGCAGATTCAGAAGCTTATATTTAGTATTAAAAGATTTCAAATCAGACATTATTAGCAAAAACAATATATCCCTTTTTTAAATATAAAGGAAAAAAGCCCATAAATATTGTCTTTGGGTTTGAGGTCACCCATTCTTGGGTAGGTGACCTCCTAGGAAGAAGGTATTTTATGAGAAACTTGACTCAGTAAAAAGTATAGAAAAAGTATTTACCTTTGCTTCAATTTAATTATAATAATGTTTAACAAATAATAATTAGCATAGTTTTATTCATGATAATAAGAAACAAAAAAATATAAAAGGAAGTAGGGATAAGTGTCAATTTAACCCATATCTACACTTTACTACAATTTAATTTTTATAGTTATAATATTAGATAGGCATTTCAAAAATAATTTAACCCATAACTATAATTTGCTATAGTTACAAAATTAAATAAACATTTCAGAAAAACAAATAACATTAACAAAACTTTACTTTAATCTAATTTTTATTTTTACAAGATTATATAGGTATTGTAAAACTCCTTACAACTCAATCTTCATTATTTCAGTTAAAATAATTTAAATGGGATCCTTTTTTAACAAGTCTTTTGTTCTCTAATTTTTTAAATTTTATTTTTATTGCATGTGTGTGCATTGCTTATTGGGTTATTATAAACTTTAAAAAATCTAACTTAGGTATTTATAAAGGGTTTAATCCCTTGTCAAACAGTTTAGAGTGATTGAAAATATATTACGCTTAATTTATACTTCTAATTTTTTATAAACCAAGCACATAAAGATTAAAGGTCAGAATTCATACCATGATACGTTAGTTAAGATTAAAGAAATACAAAAAATTCGTAAAATTGTCACTTTGTAAAATACTTTTGGTTTTTAAACTCTTTGCTTCTAATAATTGTATCGATTTTAAATTTAATAAAAGAATTTTTATAGAAATCTTTTTTTAAAATAAAATAAATTAGAATAAGTTTAAAGTTAGAAAGAAAAGTATTTTTATATAAAGATATAACAACAACCTGAAAAGAATTATCACATATACCAATTAAATATGTTTTTGGCATTATACAGTAAAGTTTAGTTTGCTTTGGTTTTCTTTAGTTCTCTTTACTATTAAATTCATATAGAAAAAAAAAATTTTTTCAAAAGGTATTTTTAAATTTACAATAAATATAAATTTTCTATTTAAGTAAATGTTTTATTATATTTTAGTTCTCATGGATTTTAGGTATTTATTATATGTTTTATTTATTAATAATATGGTTCTACTTATAATGGCAAATGAGTTATTATGTATACAAGTTTGTAGTGAATATAATAGTTGTAGAAAACTTTGTGGCACACAATGTTTTCGCCACATTGAATGTAAAGGGGCATAGTTTTGTAATACACATTTAGGATTTTGTATGCTTATGACACAATTTTAAAATTCAATATTAAAATTTGGAAATATCATTTACACCATAAGATCATTTCATAATTAATACTATAAATATATATAAACAAACACATATATAGGTATTCAAGAATTGTTTGTGTTATTTATGGTATCAAATTCTTTAGCTTATTATTCATACAATTAATCTATAAGCATTGGAAAGGTAGGCATGTGTGAAGATGGGAATTGTAAAGAAATTAAATTTACACTTTCTTTATGGTCTAAAAAATTTATTTCTCCTTATATAAGTTATTATGCTTCTTCCAAGTGAATTGGTGACAAGTATTAGTATGACAAGTATTAGTAATAATGGCAATTAAAATTTTAAAAGGGATTTTATATATATATATATATATATATATATATATATATATATATATATATATATATATATATATATATATATATATATATATATATATATATATATTAATGTTTAGTATTTTATAAAATTCATATGTAAGAAACAAAAGAGAACAACAATTCAAAATAAAATTTATAAAAGTTCAGATATAGAAAACAATAACCCATGAATAGAAGCACACCCGTTTTGAAGGTATTAGGATATTTGGAATAGTAATAAATTGGGTAACCTCTAGAGAAGTTTAAATTTAAAATTTAATATTTTGTATAAAAAATATGATGGATTGTAAAAAATTAAATAAAATGACTCAAAAATTATACTTAATTGTAAGTAACTAAGAAAACAACTCTAAATACAATTTGTAGAAGTTCAAATATAGAGAGAAAAAGCATATAAAAGAAAGTGCATCCTTTTTTTCCCAATTGGTTAAAAGTTTTAGGATATTTAGGGCTAAGCATCATTAATTTGAGTAATATTTGGTTGAGTAACATCTTAGGAAAAAATTTAAAAACTTATATTTTATATCAAAAGTGTCTCAAGTTTGATTCTATTGGTTAGCTAAGAGAATTATACCATATTGAGATTGATTAGATTTCCAATTTATGTTAAAAATGTCTTGAGTCCAACTTTATTGATTAACTAGAAAAATCACACTACATGAGATTGATTAGCTTTCTAATTGGTTAAATGTTTGGAATATTTATTGTTTTGTTTAAATGAATACAAGCACACTCCTTTTTAAGGGTTTTAGGATATTTAAGGTTAGATATTTTTAGGTTTGAATAATATTAAATTAGATTACATTTGGTATTAGAAGAATTTTTAATCAAAGTTTATTGGTTCGCTAAGGGAATCACACTATATATTGATGGTTAGGTGTAATTCAAGGGGTATGGTGTTAAGAGAGCAAAGTCGAAGGAAATCAAAGGCTCACTCTACATTGTCCATCCTCTAAGGAGCATAATTTCTTTAACATAAAAACTCTATTGACCACTTGTAGAGGTTCTTTCCCTTTTATTGGTTTAGCTTTCGCTAAACCCATTAGAGACACCTTCTTTATCTCAATCCCACTACTCCTTCTCAAGTAGTCTTAACTTTTATTGATATAACCATTCCTCTTTAGAACTTTTAGTTTTGACTTCTCGAAGTCAATTTCCTAGGTGTCTCCGACACTTTTCATTGCACATATTGTGCAAACTCCACTTCCCCATTTTAGGAAGTTCTCTACTTGAGGGCACTATCATCCTTTTTTTTATTTTGTGCCACCTTTGCCACTAAATTTCAGTTATCCTAATTCATATTAGGGCTGTCCACGGCCCTACCATTTAGCTGCTTTACCGCTTCCTTCTTTGGAACTTTCACTTTCACCAAATTGAAGCAATTGGGAATCTATAATTAGGAACACATTGCCTTTCCCACAATCCATTAGCATTTAACACTTTGGTGTTTTTAACCTAACTTTGCCATTTGGATTCCTTCCCATAGTTATTATGGCTCTTTTCTTAGCCATTAGTTTTTTTTTGCTTCTATCCTTTGATAATTACCTCCAGCAAAGATGTAACTCAATAATATCTTAGAATTGCTACCTCCATTCTCGAAGTATCCTTTTGGTTCCATAACAAAGGCTTTGCTTGCCAAATCCAAAAGGTGTTTACCCCTAGTATATTTTTTTAGCATTTTCTATTGTGGGCTTTATTCATAGCCCAACTTAGTGACCCTCCCATGGGTCTTTTATAAAGATTACTTTCCTCAAACTCGTTATGCCATCGTATGGACACAACTTATTTCCCTTATATGCTCTTCCCACTTAGTCATCTTGACCAAGCCACACCACCATCAATAGTTAAACCAGGAATTTCATTCTTTAACCAACCAAGGACCTTATCCTTATTTAGCCACAAGATCATCTAGTGATCTCACTTTGGCACCTTAACAGATTTGCTAAGAAGTACTTGATCTTCTAAACCTTAAAGTTGTTGACCATGACTCTGGGGGCATCCCCCACACTTGGCGGTGCACCCAAACTAGCCTTTACGGCCAAAGGTCCATAACAACTAAGTCTAGGTGTCCCCATCTCATTCACCACGTCCTTGGTGCCACTTGCACTAAAGTGTTCAAGTTAGATATGCTAAACTTTTGCACTAAGCAATCTAACCGTGCATCACGACTTCGGGGCATCTCCCACTTGGCGGTTTGCCCAAGCTAGTCTCCTTACTATGAGTCCATGACCACCGAAAAATGAATGTCCTCATATTCCAAACCATCACTGCGCTCTAGTGAGTTGGGACTCGAACCCAAGCATTAGAGGGTTAGAACTCAAACCTAACCTCCATATA